TTCACCTGCAGGCTCCTCTTCCAGCTGCCCCACGCTCCTGTACTAATGAGGCATCGAGACCCGGGAGGCTACCGGCGTCCCTCTCCCTGGGTTTTGTTGCTTGCTTGGTGAATTCAAGGCTTCGCTCTTAACGTTGCGTGAAGCCACCTTGGTTCTGGCGATCCTGGAATGAGAACTGTTGACCGTATTCCTTGTATCTGTTGTAGCCTGTGGGCTGGGAAGGTGGCCAGGTGTCCCTTCTGTTAGCGTGCCTCGTGCTGGTCCAGTTTCTGCCCAGTGGCTTACTGAAAAACAGTGCTGACCTCCATATGCAGGTGTCTGCATACCATTTAGACAGCTAGAGAAGATGGGAACAATCCCTGTGTCTGCTCCATGGATTGAGTGGAAAGGGAGTTTCTACTTCTCATGCTTGAAGGCTGAAAGCTACTCGTTTCTGTTCCTCTTTACCAAACCTAGGAAACTGACTCTGGCTGCTTACTCATTGCCCTGTCGGATCTGGGCTATTTCTAAAATAGACCTACATGTTTGAGGGCATAACTCAAATGCCTGTCAACTGCTTTTTTTAGTAAGAACTACATTCCCTTTTAACAAGTGGGTGAAAATATATACTAGAGCTCTTGTGGGGCGGCTTAAGCTTTCGGTTAAACTAGTTCTGACATGATTTTTAACTCACCCTTTTTTTACCCCCTAGAGAGGAATTCAATGTGCCCTCTATGGTGTGAGTCTTTGGGTTAGACCTTTGTGCAGACAAAGCATGACCTTAGTTTTTTAGATGTTAAAACTTGCACAGCTCTTAATAGAATAGATTTGCCTTGGTATCCTTGCTTTAAGTAGCTGCAGCTACCACACACCAATGTTGTGGTGCCTTGCTGTTGAAAGGTAACTGTATTTCAGTTGTGCTCTGTGTCGATAGTCTCTAAAGGTATGTACAGGCAGTCCCTGGGTTACGTACAAGATAGGGACTGTAGGTTTGTTCTTCAGTTGAATCTGTATGTAAGTCGGAACTGGTGTCCAGATTCAGCCGCTGCTGAAACTGACCAGCAGCTGACTACAGGAAG